CTCTGGAAGAGCTTGACGTACCCTCCCTAAACCCTAAACCCCTAAACCCTTAACCCTAAACCCTAAACTCTAAACCCTAAGCCCTAAACCCTAAACCCTGAACCCTAAACCCTGAACCCTAAACCCTAAACCCCGGTTTAGTGATGGAGGTTTGAGCTTTGGCTTTCGGGCCTGTGGGTGCGAGGCATGCCGGGTTGAGGGCTTTAGGAATCCAGGCTTGGAGGTGGCAGGTTTTGGGATTTAGGGTTTAGAGGGTTTTAGGGTTTAGGGTTTAGGGGCTTAGGGTTTAAGGGTTTAGGGTTTAGGGCTTAGGGCTTTAGGGTTTTAGGGCTTTCGGGCTTTAGGGCTTTAGGGCTTTAGGGCTTTAGGGCTTATGGGGTTTAGGGCCCATGGCTTGGGCAAGCCGGAGCCTGTAGGGTTTCTTATTTAGGGCTTAGGGGGGCTTTAGAGTTTGGGCTCTGCTTCTCAAGGTTTGAGGCTGGTCACATGTGAGGCTGTGAGATTCGCGGGTTACCCCGGTTTATACAGTATTATGAAATTATAGATTGCTCTAAATGTGCCGCTGTAAAGATCTCCATCATCCCCGTTCCAGCTTGTCAGCCCCAGGCACCCAGTCTTGGAGTCAGGGTTCAGGTTAAGGCTTAAAGAACCCATAACCGCCTTAACCCAACACTCCAAAACCCTACATTGTGGCCAGGTCACGTGCAACAGCACCGTCCTTGGGACTATGTCCTCGCCGTCCCACTCGCTGGTGCAGGGGCTCCTTGATATAAGGCTTAGGATTTAGGTCTGGGGGTTTGGGTTCAATTCAGATATTAATAAATCCCAAAGGCCCTCTACACCCTGAACCCCCAAAGAGCTTCGAACCTGAAACCCTCCACCCGAAACCGAATCTTTACAGTAGAACCGCCACTCCGACGACCCTCCTCAGCGTGGGCTCTTCTTCGTGCGGCGGTCGCCCTTGGATGACCTGGAGGGCACGATGCCACAGGTCGGGAAGGAGTTGCGTGCGTGTCTTCAGGTTTTAGGTCGGCTTTTCGGGTTAAGGTAGTAATTAGGATAGAAGCCCCCACATAGGAGGCCGACCCACCTGCAAGAGGAGCTGATGGTGGCTGCAGTCCGACAACGCGTCGACGCAGACCACCTCCTGGGCGTTGAATCTAACCTAAAGACCAACCTCTAAAACCCAATGCTCTGAACCCCAGACAAAACCCCGAAACCCCAGGTATACCTAAACCTAACCCAAGCACAAAACCCTGAACTCTACACCCAAAATTCTACACCCTCATTCTAACACCCTGGCTCTAACCCCCTAAACCTCAACCCTACACCCTAAACCTTAAACCCTAAACCCTAAACCCCTACACCCCACACCCTACACCTTAAACCCTGAACCCTAAACCCTAAACCCCTAAACCCCCAAACCCTAAACCCTACTCCTTAAACCCTGAACCCTAAACCCTAAACCCTAAACTCTAAACCTAAACCCCTAAACCCTAAAACCCTAAAACCCTAAACCCCTAAACCCAAACCTAAACTCCTAAACCCTAAGCCCTAAACTCCTAAACCCTAAACCCTAAACCCTAAACCCCTAAACCCTACACCCTAAACCCCTAAACCCTACACCCTAAACCTCTAAAACCCTACACCCTAAACCTCTAAAACCCTAAACCCTAAACCCTAAACCTCTAAACCCCTAAACCCTAAACCTTAAACCCTGAACCCTCAGACCAGGCTCCTCGTCGGATGTTGAGTCCTCGTCTTCCTCCTCCTGGCGCTTCTGGCGTTATAAATTGTTTTATAGTGGGGTTTAGGGTTTAGGGTTTAGGGTTTCGGGCTTAGGGTTTAGGGCTTAGGGTTTAGGGTGTATGGGATTGTTCACGGGCTTCTAGCTTTGAGTTTAGATCCTTGATCTCTTGAGGGGCTCAAGGGTGTAGGATTTTATGGTTCCCGGCCACATAACCCCAAAAGACCGCAGTGAACGTATCCTAAACCCCGCAAGACCCAACACATTGAATCCAGAAAAACACGGAACCCTATCCCCCAACCGCCCCAATCCTAGACCCTCAAACCCAAAGCCCTAAACCCTATACGCCAAGCCACCCCAATAAGCAGAATCTGAACCAAGATCCATGAAACCCTTTTCGACCCTTATCAGCCCTGCACAAGGCCCCCTAGTCGAGTCAATAAGGCTCCTGGTGCGGCACCTGGATCGCGGACTGTCCCATGGCTTCGAGCTGCTTCGGGTGTCGTAATGGTCTGTGATGAAGGCTTCGAGGGGGTTTAGGGTTTAAGGCCTTCCGGTGGTGGCCATCTCCTGGGTTCAGGGTTAAGGTTTTAGGGCTTAGGGCTCGGGGTTTTGGGGTCGAGAGCTCGAAGTTTCGAGGTTTGGGGTTTAAGGGTTTGGGGTCTCGTTGCTGAGGCTACATGCCAATAGATTCATATGCCGACAGCATTCGTTACAATACCTTAAGGGGTATAGCTTCATGTTTGAATTCTACGTGATGACATGGCTCAGGGCTTCCATCAAAGACTGAGGCTTTGGCTCAGACAGATTGCTGCTACGAGGCCAGCGCGCCTGCATGCTTAATGTTCTAGCCTATGGATTTCATGTTGTTTAGGCTTGAGGTGTTACATGTTTGAGCCGTCGGACGAGGTGCAAGTGCATCTCATGGTTTCGGCCTCGTGCTCAGGGCTCAGGATCAGCTTGGGGTTAAGGCTTTAGGCTTCAGCATAAAGTGGCTTACGGTAGGGTTTTTGATGTTCAAGGCTTAGTGGGTTTCGATTTTGGGCTTCAGGGTTTAGGGTTTAGGTGTCCTTGTTCGGGCCTGCAGTTTCGTAGGGTGCCAGTGACCGGAACCATGCAATGTGACGTCAGTCTTTTCTTGACTTCTTTGCTTCCGCTGCATTCCTCGGAGAGGTTGCTGCACTGAATCACTTCGGCGTTGGCCGATAAATTCTGGCACACTGTGTCTTCGCAAGCCCTGCTCTGATACTTCTGTCTTTGTTCAGGCCTGGATATGGGTGGGCAACTGGCACCAGTTGCTATCAAGTTGACGAGCTGAGCATACAAACTGCGTCATCGCACACCGGCGGAACCTGCGAGGAAACAACAGTTGCCGAACCGCTCTGCTGCAGGCGAGGACCCTTACATCTTCTGTGCACTCGATCTCTCGCCTGTCGAGCTCTCCACACGAACACCGAGTGGATAGGCGGAATCCAAAAGAATGCCGCACATTCCACAGACTTTCACTGGTCGAGTCTCACCTTAGTAGCAACTCTGCAAAACACAACGCAAAGCCAAGCATCCCTGACCCCAAAGCCCTAATGTAGGGGCCTTAATAATTAGAATAGGGCTTTGGGGTTTAAAAAAACAATAAAGTTATAATAAGGAACCCCCCCAAAAAAAATATATAGGTAACTATTAAGGCTGCCATATGAAACCCCTGAACGGTGCCTTGACATGCAACTCCCTCTTCCGGATGATAGTCGGTGCCACAGAAAGCCGGAGAGGGGCCAGGGCCATCATCGAAGCGGAGCAATCGGATGTGCCCTTGCTCGCCCCACATTCCACCCCAACCTGGATGCCGGCAGGATTCGAAGTTCAGGGTTGACCGTTGAGCAAAACAGGTATGTGCCGTAGGAGTAAAGATTCACAACGGTTTCTGCAACACAGTAAAACCCCGCAAACCCTGATATCCCAATCACCCCAAAGATCGCGAACACACATTGCTCCCCAGAGGATCCAGATATGCTACCATAATATGCTTCTTCTGGGTTTGGAAACTTGGTTCCATAATGGTAGTATATACGGACCCTCTTGGCGCCAGAACCAAGGAGCTGTTCCTGATAAGAAAATACTTCCCGCTGGCGGACTGGCCGTAGCCGACTGCCAGAACTGCATGATTCCTGAGCGCACGACGTCCGTGACACAACCGAAGCAAAACACTGGTCTTCCTGCCTGATAATTGCCTAGCTCTCAGATCACTCAGAGACCATGGGTGTTAAGGTATATCATACTGCAACTATATAGACGCTCTGCGGAATCAGATTACTGTTTCCGCATCGTTCAAACCCGATATTAGGCCGTTAACCGCAAGCACAAAGCCGAAAACAGAAAAAGGCAAACGGCCACAAATGGCAGGAAAGGACGTCAAAACACGCCTGAAAAAGAGACAAGGCAGCGCCAATGAAACGGGAATCCATGCCCTGTGATCTTCCTTGAACGTATTACAACCAGAGTAGGGTTTTCGGGTATTTGGGTTTAGGGTTTAGGGTTTAGGGTTTAGGGTTTAGGGTTTTGGGGTTCAGGAGTTTAGGATTCAGGCTGGGGTTTAAACCCTCAACCCTGAACCCTTAACCGTGGGCCTAGAGTCACCCTGGCATCCTTGCTGCAACTGTCGAAGATCCCGTAGCTATACGTCTCCTCCACCAGGCAAATCATGCTGAGGGACTTTTAGCATCCATACTTGGGATTGAGGAATTAAGGTTCAGGGTTTAGGGTTGGGGGGTCCAGAATTTAGGATTTAAGGGTTTAGGGTTTCGGGTTTAGGGTTCAGAGTTTAGGATTTAGGGTTTAGGTAGCATTAGGGTAGAGGGCTTCATATCCCTGAAGCCGAAATCCCAAAGCCCTTCATTTGCAGGGCTTCATGGGTTGAGCTGAGGATTTCGGCTCAAGGCTTCGGGCCTCCTAGCCGCTATCTAGTCAGCACTAAGGGGCCGTAACAAGAAAAACTCGGGTTTAGGGTTTAGGGTTTAGGGTTCAGGGTTTAGGGTTTAGGGTTTAGGATTTAGGGTTTAGGGTTTCAGGGTTTAGGAACAAATGAAACACAAACTGACAGGGGTATCATGACTAGGATTTGTCAAGCCGTGCTAGGCCCCCAAACCGGCCGCCATACGAGGACTCGGGCGTGACGGCGTTTTGCGTGTTCGTATGTCGAGAAGAAGTGGCTCCAAAGTGTCTCTTAAGGTTGACTATAAGACGTAGAGTTGGGGCAGGATACACTACAAGTACGCCGGCACAAAAGGGTACCTGCCCGAATCTGATTCGGGCTCCAGAAAATACCCCCACCAAAGTTCCGGGGTTAGAGCTCAGGGCTTGAAGGCGGGATTGGACATTCAGCTTTCCGCGGCTCGTTGCGACCTACCCCCCAACCTACTACCAAAGTCGACAAACACTTTCCGAAAAAGCCTGAATGCAACATCCGAAACCCTGAACACCAGGCCCACTAGTTATGTAAGAACTCGGCACCCTAAGACTCCTAAACTCTAGACCCTAAACCCTAAACCCCTAAACCCCTGAACCCCTAAATCCCAAACACCTAAACCCCTAAACCCCTAGACCCTAAACCCTAAAGCCTAAACCCTAAACCCCTAAACCCTAAACCCTGAACCTAAACCCCTAAAACCCTAAAACCCTAAACCCTAAACCCTAAACCTCTAAACCCTAAACCCCTACAGCCCTAAGCCCTAAACCCTAAACCCACCGCGTCTCCCAGTTGGTCGCATCTGCCGACACCACGACCGGGCCCTGCATGGCGATGGCTTGCACCTGGACTGGGCAGGGGCTTTGGGTTTAGGGTTTAG